AGCTCCTCAACAGCTGGCAGTGGATGCGGTGGTCACACAGTGGAAATCAACGAGAGTGGATCACATCATGGGTCCATGAAACCGGCCAAGAGTAAAATACTCTTGTGGGAGAATCGGGATTTTCGTGCACAGCCTGATCCGACTCGAACGATCCCAAACTTTGGCTCGGATCGAAACGGACCATCAATAAACAATCCGGAGGGATATTATTCCGATAGAAATCAAGTTACAATGCAACAATATCTTTCTGCAAATAATGCCATAGGAAACTATCCGAATTGGTCACCGTGGTTTCGTAATGCACCAACTGACGACCACGTTTTACGCACACCCCCAGCAGCTGAAGCTGTCACTGGTTGGAATGTGAACGCAGGGCTTCATCAGTTTGATTCTCCTGGTTCCAGCTGGTGCGGACAACAACAACAACAACAGCAACAACAACAACATTTGCCCAATACAGAGCTCTGTGCACCAACAAACAACGAGAATAGTTGTGTCCCGTTTCGCACAAACCTAGCTGCCAACGAGTCGGAAAAGAATTCCATTTGTAATAGACCTCATTCTAGTCTGAATGAGACGGGTCACCCACAAAAGTCGGAAATGGAGCAGCAGCAGCAACAACAACAACTGCCACATCACCACCTCCACCATCCGCACCACCAACCACAACAACATCCGCCGTATTGGGATCCAAACCAGCGACATTCTAGTCGTGCTTTGACTACCTGTTCGGATACCAACTACCCCAAAGATAATCGGTCTACTGAGCAGCAACTCTCTCGTGACCAACATTCAATACCGCATTCATCTAACTTGGACGCGTTACAAACGCGATCCAATCCCGAGTCCGTGTGCAGCCAGTATCCTCAAACCTCCTGGCGAACGGATGACATACAAGATCCGACCAGGGTTCAGAGACCGTCAAATCTAATTGTTGAACAACGCCCTTTGAACACAATGCATTCATCTGAGCGTGTGGCACTGTGCCCAAATCAGACCGATCCCAATCCTTTCTCAATGCAACCCGGTTTTCCCGGTACTAATTTGAGTTCAAATATTTTACGGTCGCCTCATTTTAGTGAACACAATAGAGCAACAATGCTAGGCAATTACACAGCTTCTTCATCGTACCCGGTCATTCCGTACCAATCAGCCAGAATGGTAAACGTACCACCGTATATGATGCAATCCCTCGGTTCTGGCGAGTTTCCCCACCATAATGGTGGATACGACCGTGTTTCCGGCACAACCGTTCCATCCCAAGGATCGTTTCCTCCATCAGATACACACTTTTCTTTTCCACCTCAACATTCTCTGTACAGTCCAGCACTTCAGTCCATTTTCGAAGAAGTCCCATCCGGTGGTCCTATGTCCTTGCCGGCCGGTTGTGATGCACTCGGTGGAAATCTGGTCGTCTGTAATATGCCCTCGATAGACACGGACAGTTTGACATTTGGTTCTTATACTTGATCCGGATAGTGGTTCCTTTCTCGCAGTCACTTTTGTCCGCCCACTCCGCTCCAACCAACTTCTTTCATTCTCCTCAAAAATAAGTTGCGTCGTGCCGGTTTCAGCTCAGTTACTACCGGTCTGCGATTCAGCTACTGTGGTTTGCAATCTTTCTTCAACTGCGTACCCTAGTCACCGGGATCTCGTGTGAGTGTGTGTGTGTCTGTATTGGTATGTACGCACGTGAAGCATTTTGGTGGAAACCGCAGGTTTCAAATCAGTCAGTAGTAAGTTTTCTCTTTCTATCTCTCTCTCTCTCTATCCCTGGTGCGATTTCCCCTCTTTGTAAGAACTTGTATTTTGTTTCGCCCTGTATCGATTTTCCCTTCCGTTCAACACGGACCGCGTCACAAATACACACTTATGCATAAATGTATACAAGATACTGACTAATAGACTGTGACTTTTAAAAATAGCATGAATTGCGCTGTGTTAAACAAATCTTTCTGTGAGATCTATCGAAAGTCGTGGTAACTTGATCTTGAACTATCGCAATCCGGTTGTGTAACATCCATGTGATTGTCGAACCCAATGACATCAGCACTCTTTTACATTTGCTACTGAAGCTGAACCTGCATAGACACACACATACACACACGCACTCGCGCTAACCTTGAAGCGCCTCGTCTGATTTCAAAGTGGATTGTTTTAAATTGAGAGAGAAATCGATAGAACTCTTTGTCATTTATTCTTCTTTCAGTGATTGCAGAAGTCAAGAGAAGGGGATCTCGTGCATTTTCGGAAATTCGTCACCTATTCACATACATCTTTCCATTTCTCAAAGTTTTCATGAATGGACCATCACATATATAAACATACGTGCATATATATATATATATGTTAATATATAAACATATTTATGCAGATACACTCATGTGCATATACTCTACACAACCAGTGCAATCATTTCCCCACGGCCCTACAAACTGCCCACACTCACATGCCCCCTGCCACAACCCCCTCCAACACACCTGTCTCTTCTCCCTTTATGTACGACAAAGCTGTTCTGTGGTTCGGTTAAACCATTGATCCATGCAAACATTTCGATTTGCTCTGTGTTCTATAAACCGGTAATTTTACCTCTTTATATGTATGTACGCGTGTGTGTGTGTGTGTGTGTGTGTGTGTGTGTGTGTGTGTGTGTGTG